ACTGACGAATGACAACTGTGAGACCCTATTATAGAACTGTCCTCTAGCCATCCAAAGCGCAAAAGGAAGTTAGTTACACATCAGATGAAGTTGTAGATATGCCAAATAGGGGTAACAAATAGCAATGAATTCTCTAAGTTAGCCAACCTATTAGAGAATTAGGTGCTAAACTAACGTGAACACGTTAGTGGACTGAGAGACTAACCGTAATTCTTTAGAGTAGTCAGCCATCGGTAGATGCAATAGAGGTCGTCTAGTGATCTGACGGTGCCCTTCTCATCTGGACGCTGGTGAGGAAGATGCAGATGACTCCTGATTCTCGGTGAGGAAGCAGGGATCACGGTGTGACTGTGTTGACTTTCCCGTCACTCCAGCACATTGATGATCGGATTTTAGGAGGTACATTAGGCTAGCTGAATGTTGGATCCTCGGGGTGGGAGTCGCCCATCTTATTGACCTTGTGTGACGAGGGGCCACATCCCTCGATCAATTAATATCGGGTGCCCACGATCGTGGAATGTACGGGAGTCACGTACTCCCCTTGACTTAGCCATAGGAACGGTTAGGACATTAGCCCACACAGTCCATGGTCTGAGATCACTATTTCCAACATTCTCCCCTTTGATAGAAAGGCTGACATCATAAGAGTCTACACTTGTAGAAATAGCACACCAAGGCAATGTGTTACAACGGTCAAGAAACTGCCACTACAACAACAATACCTATGGTATACCAATCCACCTCGATAGGATATCACATAATCGTAATTGGAGTCATTGCCTAATGGCCCTCATACCCAAGATCAAAGGCTTTTCATTAAATCCATGTGCGCAACATAATCAATTAATGTATTGGATGGTAAGCCTTGGAAGATCCATGACATTAACTTAATACTCATATGAATAATACTGAATGTGTGATCACGGGTTCTCTCTTTTACAACTTGATACTTTATGTCAACGTGTTTGACAGATACACTTGACTTGTTACTCACATAGGAAAACTGCATCTCGATGAATGTAGTTGGTATATGAATAAGTCCTTCACCACTTAAGATGAGAATAATGTGCTCATGTCATATGGCTTCGCCTACATCTTTAGCATGCTACTACCAATATTCATCATGAGCCTTTAAAGTAAAGGACTCTTCTTGCAAGTGTGATGATATAAAACTTAATGTTGACATCTTAGTATCAACACATCCTGCAAATTAACATCTCATTCATCAATTACTCTAAGTTTTCATACCTCTTATGTGTGAGCATGCAATGCGTAGTCTTTTATACATCATAAGCATTCTTAATAGTCTCCTAGGGGTCCAATCCTAGGTTTGACTTGTATTTGCCAAATATCCCTATTCAGAAGGTAAGACGGGTGAGTGCATTTGTAATGCTTCAAACAACTGAAGCACAAACATTTAGCTTCAACTAATCAGTTTCTATTTACTTTATGGACCTTTGAGTGATTCCAATTTATCACCCTTAGCATAAGTGATAGACATAGGATAAGAATTAATTTGTGCCATATCTCTTATGTACTTGATCATTTATAACTTTCGAGATAGACTTAAACATAATTGGACCAAACCAGGTGTACTAATGGCCAAACATAACAGCTTTACCTAAATCTTTATGTCAAGATTAAGTGAGAAATCATCCAGTAGCTAGTATGCAACATATACTTACTGCTACTTGCTAGTAAAGTTACCATCCATGTAAAGTAATAGGATAACACACCAGCTCCCCTTGGTAGCTTATATACAGTTATAAACCTTAGATTCACTAAAACCACATCATTAATCTCACAGTACCACTGTCAAGATGCTTACTCATGTTCGTAAACGGATCTCTTTAGTTTACACTCCATCTCACTTGCCTTCCACGACTAAACCTCACAGTTGAGCCATGTATATGTTCTTATGCAAGCTACTATCAGTGAGTATTTACATCCATATGACACAACTCTAATCCATAATGAGTGGCAAACAAGCATTATGAGAATTCCAAATAATGTTTCTTAGATATGGGAGACTGAACTCATATGAAACCTTTACTATAAGCCTTGCCTTGAACTTTCCACCCTTCCCTTCGTAATCACATAATTTTGTACACCAATTTATAGTCTACTGTGTTGATCCCATCCGGAATTTCTACTAAGTTCAAACTTCATTAGAGCTCATAGACTTTATCTCACCCTTAGTGGACTTAAAACATTTAGATGAGTATGATCATTATGGATCCTTACATGAACATCTACCTTTTCAAGTCATAAACGTCTAACTATTGTAAATGGTATGATCATCATTAACGGTAGATTTTCTAGACCACTTTAATCTTCATAAGACATTAGTCATCACAGGGGTCATATAGGTTGTAGAGGTTTGACATCATAATTGTCTCACCGTTAGGATCAACCCAGTCCTCATAATTGAGTGCTCAGCTTTAGAACTTTAATTAGCAGCTGTAGTCCCATATTTCTTAGTTCAAGTTTACGATTGCCTGAGATGCATAAATAAAATTCTTTCAGTTTTCTGGTAATAATTCATAAGCTCAGATTTCCATAAAGTCAATGTCCCAGCTTCTAAGCTCCCACTTGTGCAAATTAATGCAAACTTACGGTACAAATTTATTGGCCTAGTGCTTAGTGTGAATTGAATGATTGGGCTAGGCAGCCCATACGCATGAGTAATGTAGCTGTCTAGAATAACACAACTTCGACAAACTCATTGACAACATGAAATAATTAAATGCATGCACCATATACATAAAAACACAATTTTATTCCTCAGCTCTACATTATGTTGAGGTTTGTCATGAGTCATATATTAACTAGGGGATTATTCAGTCTCTCATAAGGGCACTCCCAATGCAAAAACCACCATAGTTTCTATGGACATTAATTGTACTGCCACCTAAGTGTTTTGCTGATGTGGCAAGATAGTTATTGAAGAGAGAGAGCAAAAATCATAGAAACCGGGTCTAAGTTAGAAACCATGTCCTCACGAGAACCAAGACATGAAGGGATGTGATTTATAGAGAATGGAGAGAGAATATATGTGATTGGATAAAAAATTGTTCTGTAAAAACTATTCATTGGGACCATGGTTTCTATATGTAGTGTCTATGAAAATTAATAGGTAGCATTGGGACTGCCCTAATGCTACTCTTATTGATCTAGAACTTATGCACCTTAATATTAAGTTATGCTGATTCCTCGTACCAACCTTTATGATGTGCCCTGGATTATTTTTTTATGGAGAAATTGGTTCATGATGAGAGTCAACATTAATTAAGGTAGTAAAAGAACTATAAGTTTACCAATGGAACTATAGTTATAAAAGATTATGATTTCCAAAATCCCATATTCTTGCAATTATTTGACATAATTTCCCTTGATACAAGTCATGAGTAAGAGAAGTTTTAAAATTTAAGCCCAATCCATGAAGTATCTCAGCTCTAATGAGATGATCCATTTCTCCCGTTCTGTTGGGACATGGACACACGGATCGCGAAGACTTCTTCCCCCACATAGCTTCGTCTAAGGCCGAGCTAACTAAACTATAACTTGAGCCATTGTGTTTATGTTTGGCAGGAATCACACAGGTGCCTTCGCCCGTGTTACTAGGCACGGCGAAGGCAAGCGAACGGAGGTCTACTGGCAGAGACCTTTAGTGACCCACGTGGCTAGGAAGGCAGAGGCAGGCGAAGGTCCTTCAAAAGGAGACCGCAGGGTAGACTCAGCGAAGCCCTGGCCTCTACCGGTCATGTAAGATGGTCGAAGGCAAGACACATGATAACAGCACCAATAGGCCTCCACCAGGCTCGCCGCTAAGGCCCATGAAGAAAGGCGGTGGAAGAGGAGATGACCCAAGTTAACCCTGAAACAACGAATGCGTACGAGCAAATTCCAAGAATATGCCTTTTAGCCTTTTAGCTGTCTTGGGGCAGAATTATAAAGTAGCACCCTTGTGTACAGTGAGCTATAAAAGGGGAGCAAACCCCATGTAAAAGAGAGACCCATGAGTATATAAAACTCTAATTGAGCTTTGGCCCCATCAGTGTGTTCATCCCAGTATTGTGCCTTCGCTTGAGCGAAGACCTTGTCTTAATTCACCTTGTTGGGAGCCTTTCTTCCAACATTGGCGCCCACCATATGTAGGGCAAGCAAAACTCACGATGGCACGAAAAAGAGCAGCCTTCGCCGGTTCGCCGATAGAAACATCAACTAGGGGAAGGCCCAGGCGTACCACTTGCGCAGCATGTACGCTAGCGCTTCTGAAACCCAGGTCAATGTAGAAGAGCCCGCGGTGGCGAACCAACTAGCAAAGAGCAACCAAACCCTAACCCCACCCTAGAGCAGGTGCTCCAACAGCTGCAAGCCGAGCTACAAAATGCGCAGCAAGAAAGAGATAGATTGGCGGCAATCTTCACTGCAAGCCGGAGGACAGTGCATGCATCATTGCAGGCACACTACACCACAACACTACAATAGCATCTAACGTCTGTTGCTAAAAGTTGACATTATCGTTGAATGGTGAGTCGCTAAAACTTTTTCTCGGACCGTCAGTTGCTAATATCAAATACTGCGATGGATGATCCGTTGCTATAAATATTTTGGTTTGGTTTACGTTGAATCATCAGTCACTGGCCGTCGGTCGCTAAATATAATTGTCCATTGGTGCAATGTTTTCAGCGTCCGGAAATTTTGGCCCACAGATTCAGATCTAAACCCTAAGTCACCACCTAGCCTCACGCACCTCAATCCCGCTCCCCACCCACACACCGCCTCCACCCCCCTCCTGCCCGCCCGACGGACGTCCCCCCGCCGCGTCCACCCCGGCGCACGGGCAAGATGTCCGCCGCAGCCACCTCGTCGTCACACGACCCTATCCGCTCTCTCTCCCTCCCTTCTATTCGTACTTCTCCTTTTCCCCGACGTGGACGCGGCGACACCCGACCCCGACCCTGACCTCGACCCGAACCCTAGCACCTAGCGGTTCGATGCTACTGCGCTTAGGTCTGGGCGGCGGCGCTACGAGCGGCGGCGGCGGCGGCGGCGCGAGGGCAGGGCTGCGGCAGTGCGGCCTGCAGGCGGCCGCCGAGGAGCCGACGGCCGACCGTCCGGTGCTGCGACTGCCACGCTGGGTCGGCCGCCGTGGCCACCACCACCGGGTTTGGCCACAACTGGCCACGCCGCTCTGGCCATGTGGCTGCGCCGAGCCGACAGCTGACAGCCACCGGAGTCCTGGTGCCCCCTCATTGTCATGCTCCTCCGCCTACTTCACGCCCAGATCTGGTATCTGTTGTCGTGGTGAGCTCTTACTTCTGATGGATTTGTGCATGATTGGGGATCTAGGGTTAGTACTACAATTGATTTGTGCATAGACATACAAGTGATTGGCAATCTAAATTAAACTCGTATAGAGCAATCCTACCTATTTGCCATTAGCAATTTGCCACTGGAATTTGCAATTGAAATTAGGAGATGCCGTTGCAGCAGGCCTTCTAGATTAAACTATTAGGGCTGTTATGTCTTCAAGTATCCGATTTAATAAATCCATGCTGTCAGAATAGTGTTTTACTCGTTTGATTTTATTTTTTAGTACAATTTACAATCAAAAAGGTCTAACCTGTCATAATCAATATAGAAGCCTATAGCTATGTAATCCCAGGGAATCAAACTTAAATAGAGAAGCTGTGATCCTTGGTCAATTATTACTGAACCTTAAACTCGTATGGAGTAGTTGTTTTTTTCCCTGAAGTGGTGCTTGGTCAGAGACAACAATGGTGGTAAAGCAGCAATTCTGCTTCTCTAGGTTTCCTGAGAGTAAGCTCTTGCCCATTTGGGTAATAAACAACCATTAATTTTGAATATACTCAATATAAAACAGATTTATAATTTACATTTCTACTAATTTATTTCTGGTTAAGTGCTTTTGTCTTGTTTTTTTTTTTATATCCAGATGACTTCGACTGTATTAGTGAGGTTGAATTCCTTAACCTGATCATACTAGAAAGAAGATCCAGATGACATTGACTGTATTAGTGAGATTGAATTCCTTAACCTGATCCTTAACCTGGTCTCTGGCATGTGCATGCGTCATTGCATAAAGGAATCGTTTGTGATTACTGATTCCGTTGGTTCTCTTAATGTTAATTTGGTTTTTGGCATCTTTGTTGTTGCAGACTTGGATGGGAAGCCATGACGTTGGCGGCGCTAATCTGCGACACGGGCCAAAGGAAGGCCTTGAAGGTGCTAGACCTCGTGGCCGCATCACTACGTCGATAGCACTGCAGCGAGTCCTATCTGACTACCTCACTGTTTGTTTTTGCTTTCACTTGTGTGGATGCAGGTCAATCGGCACCTTTCAGAAGGCGCAGCTGCGGGACTTTTGGCCGGCCGCTGCAAGCCAACGATGGCTTATGAAACCATCAAGAAACTACTTAAATTGGCTGACGTGATGCCTCTGATCTCTTTTGAGTTTTAGAGATTTCCTGTGGTAATTTGGAATCTGTTTGGTAGTTTGTTAGGTGAAAAAGTACATGCAATGATCTATAACTGTCATTCAGCTGTTCTATCACAAACATTCATTCAGTATATAAATGTGTCAGCCATGGAACATTGGCTACCATTCAGTATCTAAATTTTTTTCCATGTAAATTTGTTTCATAGTTTTAGTCTTCAAGGTTTTTGTTTTAGTCTATGTTGACAAACTCTTTTAGTCTGTGTTAGATTCAGCTTGACAGGCACTACATGTAGTTCTTTTCAGTTAACTGAAGCAATTCTATAGTGAACTATGAACGTACAGCTGCTCTGTCATGTTTTTTCCCAAATAACATCATGTAGATGCTCCTCTGTATTGCAGTTTTTTATTCAGATTACTAAGCCATGCTAAATATGTTGGTAAATGCGATACACAATGACTTGGGAAAAAATACACACTAGACCAGGCACTACATCTAGCAGCTGGTCTATCGTGTATTTTTTCCCAAGATAACTGAACCATGCTATGAAATGCCATCAGCTAGATGCTCCTATGTAATGAAGTTTTTTTTTTCAGATTACTGAACCATGCCAATACATTGTTTTCTTCTACGTCCTCTATGTATGTGCTCTGATCCTCTCTCGACTAGCTTAATTCATGCACATACTGCGAGGACGGGTTAGCACTGGAAAGGCTTAGGGAAGCTGCTAAGAAGGCAAAGGGCCCAAGGTTGAGTTTTCCTCCACTAAGCATACTGCTAAGAAGGCACAGGCAATATACTAGTTGAGTACAAAAGTCTTAACTCCAAAAATCTCCCCTGATGTACGGCTACAGCCTACAGGTGATAGCCCATGTGCTAATAATAGTCCACTGCCATCTTTTCAGTTGTGTGTTAAGCTTGTTTCTCTGAAAATGTTTTTGCCTGCTAGTTGTATTGGACATATTCAAAGAGTACAGTTCTACACAAGAACTTTTTTTTTTGTTAACACTAAGATTGCTAGTGCAGTTCCACTTTGATAATCTTCTACCTTATGCAGGTTTGTTGTAGGCAATCAAGATCTTCTCAAGGTGTTCATGGAACTTCTCAGAGGCAGTATTCCCAAGGTGTTGCAGAATCTTCTCTAAGGCGATATTACAAAGTACGGATGGTTGCGTATTTTGAGCTTTTACCAAATGTTTGATGGTTTCAATGAACACCATGCGCTAGTTTGTTTTTGTTCATCGGTTGTATATATATGTTGAGACAAGGATAGCTTGATGTTAACTTGTTAAGTGACATGATTACATATGTACTCGAGTTTGATAATTGAACGAGACCTAATGTGATTATTTGTGTATGTCATCCTAAATGTGTATATAATTTCAATATTGTATTGGTCTTGATGAAGGGCGGGCTTGGTGCAAGCGGTAAAGTCTTACCACCTGTGACCGGAAGGTCCCGGGTTCGAGTCGCGGTCTCCTCGCATTGCATAGGCGAGGGTAAGGTTTGCCACTAACACCCTTTCTTAGACCCTCACAGAGCGAGAGCTCTCTGCACTGGGTATGCCCTTTATTGTATTGGTCTTGAATGTTTGATTCAATGTACATGTGTTTAGAAATACAATGTTTTATTTTTTTATCTTATTTAATTGAGCTCGATGGATTGTTAGTTGCTAAAAGTCCTTATACTCTTGAAATGTCGGTCGCTAAAAGCTCTAACATGTTGTTGGTCTAAAAGTAGGACCATTGGACTGTCGGTTGCTAAAGATGATGTCCATCGCTGTTTACATATAGCGACGGCTTTGTTAGCAACTGTAGGGGTCTGTCGCTATAACCTTTAGCAACTGACTGTCCATTGCTGTACATCCGTTTCCGCAACTCCAAATCAGTCGCTGTTTAAAGGTTGTGATGTAGTGGCAGCCGAGATCAGACAACAGTTAGCCATCTTACAAGCCGAGATATAGAGTATGCAACCAAGTCAACCACCATCAAACAACTCTAATCAGCCCCACCTAGCAGGTCAAAGCTAGCCTAACCCTTCGTCAAGCCTAGCTATCCAGCCAACATTCGGCACACATACACCTTATCATCAATCCACGGGTCTATAGACTCAAAATCGCCATTGTCCGAAGGGCTTCAAACTTTTCCATGACCCCCTCTTACAAACCCATCACCTTACCCAAGTTCAATGGAAAAACGGACCCGCGTCAGTTCATTATGAGTTTTGAGGCAGCAGTAGCCTCCATCGGTAGAAATGACACAGTCCTGGCAAAATCTTTTGTCATCACCGCCGAAGGTGACGCTCTGGCATGGTACTCTATGTTGAGACCCACTTCATTGTATTCCTGGGAAGATCTGTGTGACAAGATCGCGGCCAACTTCAAAGGGTTCTCAAGCGAATCCTTGACCTCTTCGGATCTCTTTCAGTGTAGACAAAACCAGGGAGAAACTCTAAGAGAATACTTCTAGAAATTTGTGTAGCTCAAAACCAAGGCACCAAATGTCCTAGAAGATGTAGCCATTGAAGCAGCAATCAAGGGTCTCCGAATTGGAGCCTTCGCAGGCCACCTGGCCAGAGAGAAGCCCAAGACTATTGAGGAATTGTACAATGAGTTTGAAAAGTACTACAGGTCTGATAGTGACCTCCGTAGAAGACTGGAAGAGCAAGGTCAGTACAAGCAAGCCCAGAGCAACAGCAGGAACGCACAAAGGAACAACAGAAATAAGGGTCAGCAGCAGCGAGGGCCCGACCAACAAGTCTTCAACATAGACCACCAAGGGAACAACCAGCAAGGTCAGCATGCACCAAAGACCAGTCAAAATACTGGGCCACAAGGACAGCATCATAACAGAAGAAACAATTAGAGTAAAAACTGGAACAAGAATCAAAATCAGAGGCAGCGAAGGCAGTACTGTTTCTTTCACAGAGAGAACAAGGGCCATATCACCAGGGATTGTCCAGATGCTAAGGAAACATAGGAAAGGATAAAGGGCGGAGAAAACCCGCAGCCTCCGTAGCAGCAATCAACAAAAGAAGTAAACCATGCCTTCGCCGCACCTTGTCAACAACAACAATACTACCCAATTTATCCAAGCTTAAACTCCACTCAAATACACCCATCCACCTTAGCAGCAGCATACTACCTAGCTTCTTACCTACATGGCGGCCAAGCACTCAACAACAAGGGCAACCAAGCAACCAGCGTGCGGAGGCAAATCTCACTTATATAAACCCTAGGTCTCCACACATCACATTCATTGAGACAAGCCAGTGTGCACAAGTGCAAAACAGATAGCTTGAAGCACTCCCACTACCTCCGCCTCTAGCACAAATGGCTACCTCCAAGAATGAACCCAACCTTGAAAACCAGCTAAACCCTCATACGCCCCTACCAACCATCGGAATGATACTGCCAATAGCCGGAGGCTCTTCGCTAGAGTTTAAACAAAGCAGTAGAAAAAAGATCATCTCAAACCCGTCAACAATGTTGTAGTGCTGGGGCCAGTACGTTGCACATATTGGTCGAAGATACCTCTGACTTTCTCAGAACATGACCTCAGTCTAGAAAGCTATCCCCATGCGGACGCAATGGTAATCAAGGCCAACATTGCAGCCTAGAAAATCAACAGGGTTTTAATCGACTCTAGGAGTTCAGCTGACATAATTTTTGTCAATGCCTTCGATCAGATAAACTGAGTAGAAGCCAATTGCATCCTTTGGATTCTCCACTAGTAGGCTTTGGGGGAAAGAAAATTGATGTCTTGGGAAAAATTTCTTTGCCAGTATCCTTCGGAGATCAGCAGAATGCAAGAACAGAGTATGTGACCTTCAGCGTGGTCGATCTCTACTACCCTTACAACGCCATCTTCAGCAGAGGCTTTGCAAATAAATTCAATATAGCCATCCTCATGGGCTATCTTTGTATGAAAATGCCAGCCCTTCACGGCGTTATCACCATCCATGGCAGTCAGAAAGAAGCAAGAAACATAGAAAGAGCTATCTATAAGTCCCAGCGCAACATCAATTCTGTTGAACCCACCAAGAGCAATGCACCAGAGCCTCCGAATATGCCCAAGGGAAAGACAAACCTCAAGGACCAAGAAGAAACAAAATTAGTACCGCTACAAGATGCAGTCCCAAACAGAAAGGTCATCATCGGAGGCAACCTCTCCGCCGAGGAAGAAAGAGAGCTCATCGAGACCCTTGCTAAAAACAAAGATGTCTTCACATGGTCAGCCTGAGTCAACAGAGACATCATACAACATTAGCTGGAAATCAACACTAAAATGAAGCCAAAAAAGCAAAAACAGAGGAAGATGTTAGAAGACAGAATCAGAGCAGCGAAGGCTGAGGTGCAAAGACTGCTAGATGCAAATGCCATCCGAGAGGTCAAGTATTCAAAGTGGTTAGCAAACATGATGTTAGTACGTACCAAAGAAGAATGGCAAGATGAGGATGTGTATAGACTTCACAGGCCTAAACAAAGCCTGTAAGAAAGATCCATTCCCACTGCCAAGGATTGATGCCTCCGTCGACAAGGCTGCTGGCTGCAAGCGATTCTCCTTGCTGGATTAGTTCTCAGGATATCACCAGATATGGTTGAAAAAGGAAGATGAAACCCTAATTGAGCTTTGGCCCCGTGTGTTCATCCTAGTATTATGCCTCCACTTGAGCAAAGACCCTGTCTTAATTCACCTTGCTGGGATCCTTTCTCCCAACACGTTCAAAATGTGACTTATTAAACAATTGGCATAATTTCGATCAGAGTCTCATTGGTCATACTTATATTTATTGCATAACACATAACTATCACAGAATAATCACTTAGAAGCAATATGTAAATAATGACTTGGCTTAACGAATAGGGAATAATATCATCATTACATTTATTCAATACATCTATTGTTTTCAGACATAATCAACTAATGAAGAAACTCAACTAATGTTCCTTTCATGGAAGAACATATATTACATTATTTGATAAACATAAACTAATGGCAGTGTAGAGTGTAATGGCTTCATCTTCAAACTTATGTCATTCTGGATGGTAAGGATACCTTGTGAAGAGTTAGTAATGTGCACATGCACTTGAGTTAATCCTTCAAGCATCAGGGCCTGTTTGGCAGAGCTCCACTCCTAGATTCTTTGGATCTGCTTCTTGATTCTCTAATGGAGTGATTCTACTTGATTATGGTGGGGAGCATGGCGGTGAGCAGGTGAGAATTGATTCTAGAGTGATTCTTGTGGTTTTTGGATAGAGAGCAGTGGAGAGCAGATTTTTCAGCTCCCACCTCCAAATGCAAATGGAGAAGTGATTCTTGCCCGCTCCCCACCTGAATCTGTGCGACATTTAGCTGTTTGGTTAGGGATGGAGAATCACTCCCAGGGAGCACTGCCAAATGGTCCCTCAACATATTGGATTCATAATTAAAATAACATCAATGACTTATGGTTGTTCTTTTTGTCGTGCCAGTCCTTAAAGTCATTGTAGTCCTTCTACATATGACCATATGTTTTGCAAAAGCGATATCTTGGTCTTTCATAACCATGCTTAGCTATAGATCATTTGAGTTCCTGCTTCTCTAAATCGAGCTGACCTTTATGTCTTAGGGCAATAAATTTGTCATGATTCTTTCATCAACCTTTATGTCGCTCTTCTAATGAAGCTAAGAACTGCTTGCCATTATCAATGTCAGGGATTTCTCCCAAAAGTTTCACACTAATGCACTTCTTCATAATCATGAGAGATAAGCCTTTTTGAGTGCCTACACTAATACTTATCATCTTCAAATTCTTTAACCCTCTAGTAAAAGTTGCTGTCATAATCACCTTATGCTATCTAGATAGTAGGAGCATGCTGATCATAGTTAAAAATTAAGAGAGCCAATTGTATTTCCCCTTTCCGTAATGGGAAGTTGGTCCAGTTGAGGAGAGGAATATCTTTGATTCTTCCCATAATTTCTGAAGGACATAGCATTGACTCAAAACAAATTAAAATATCATTAGTAAGAGTATGCAAATATTATGTCATGCGTGATTTAAATCCTGTGTTGGTTTGATTAAAACATGCTAGTGCCATTTCTAATTCACATGATTGTCGGGCAGAAACAAAAAAGAAACTAAACATTAAAATTTTTTAATCAGACCAACGTAGGATTTGGTACATGCATGACATAGTGTTTACATACCCTTACTGATGTTGTTTTAATTTGTTTTGAGTCACTGTTATGTCCTTCAGAGGTTATGGACAAGATCTAAGAGATCCCCTCCTCAACTAGACCAACTTCCCATTATCAAAAGGGGAGATTCGATTGGCTCTCTTAATTTTGAACTATGATCATACCATACGTGAGCATGCTCCTACTCTCTAGACAATAGAAGGTGATTATGATAGCACCTTTTACAAGAGGGTTAAAGAATTTGAGGATGATAAGTATAAGCAAGAGTACTCAAACAAGTTGTTGCTCATGATTATGAAAAAGTGCATTAATGTTGAAATTAGGGGCGACATCCTTGACACTGATAATGCCAAGTAGTTCTTAGCTTCATTAGAAGAGCAACATTAAGGTTGGTGAAAGAATCTTGAGAAAGTTATCGCCCTATAACATAAGCGTCAGCTCGATTTAGAGAAGCAAGAGAGCTCAAACAATCTAGGGCTGAGCATAGTTCTGAGAGACCAAGATGTCACTTCTGCAAAACATATGGCCATATGCAGAAGGACCGCGATGGGTTTAATGGCTGGCCCAACAAAAAGGGTAATCATAAGTCATGATGTAATTATATAATGAATCCCTTATGTTGATAGTTGAAAGATTAACTCAAGTGCCTTGTGCACATTACTAAGTCTTCATAGGGTATCCGTACTATCCAAAGGCTGGCAAGGGGAAAACACATGATTAGAGTATTGAATGGCATAATTTTGAAGATGAAGTTATTGCACTCTCTACTACCATTAGTTTATGTTTTATCAAATAATGTAATCTTTGTCCCTACATGAAAGGAACATTAGTTGAGTTTCTTCATTAGTTGATTATGCTTGGAACAATAGATGTTTTGACTAAATGTAATGATGACATTATTCCCTATTAATTAAACAATTCATTATTTACATATTAACTGTAAGTAATTATTCTGCGATGGTTATGTGTTATGCTAATGATAAAGATAAGTATGACCAATGAGACTCTCATAAAAATTATGGCATTTCACTACTACTGATTGATCTTTCACTGTCGCCACTTTCACTGCCGTAGCGATATAAGCGTCCGTGTAATACTTCCACCATCGGTTGGACCGATAGGTAGGCCTCGCAAGGAATGAAACCGGCAGTTGAAAACCATCAATGCAGCGATGGTAGTGGGGTTGAATTCCATCGTCATTTAGAACGCCGAGCCGACTGAGATACGCGTTATGGCCGCCGCACCTACATTACCATTTGGTGTACCAGTGGTAAATATTGAAGGTGAGTAATTTTTTTCCAATGCCCAACTACCAACACCCCCCACTGGCCCGCTCAACATATTCTTCAAGCCCGCTGCCATATGAAATCACCCCTCTTTCATGTTCATCCCATTCTTCGTTATCTTCGCTTAGGATATCTATCCCTAGAAAAACCTCACTACCCAAGCTACCCTTTACTTGTTTTCTTTAGGTGAATTAGCTAAGAGACTTACACATCCGTTCCTTTAGAAAAATACGATACCCTGAATACTTCCTGGTGAAGTGCTACAACGGTGTATTCGTGCACTTGCGGATTCCTCTGCTTACGCTAAGAAACACCAACAAGCGTCTCTTCACTGGATGATCTCATATGTCCGTACGGCGTCCGTACGAGCACGTCCATACTAGCAGTTAGGATTAATGTAAGTGATTAGCAATTAATCATGTTACCAAAGGGACATGTCCTTTGGAGTTTCATGAACAGTTGTGTCCTTTGACACACCCCTTCACTTGTATATAATCCTTTCTACATATCAATAAAATGACAGTTCTCCCAATCATTGTTTATTTACATTTTACATTTAGATCAATAAAATGATAGTTCTCCCAATCATTGTTCTTTTACATTTCACATTCAGCAGCTAGTTTTCAATTTTTTTTTGGGAGAGTGAGCCTCTATTCTGACAAACGAGAGGAGAGAGAACACTTGTAGTTTATCTAGTAGAGAAGCTCATGTTTTTAAATTAAAGTAAATTGGGTACAGGACACTGAAAGTGGCCTCTCGTTACTAGCGAACATGTAAAATGAAGTAGTTTGTTGATGGACACTAACGTTGTTGTCAAATTTTCTCATGTACACCGCACCAAATAAAATATTCATTTCTGTCTAAGAGAGAGAGAACGAGCGCGAAATGTCCTTTTTGCCCCTGGCCCCATCTCCTTCTCTACTCATGCCAAGCCCTGCCGCCTCCCGGGCCGGAGCTGTGCTCCTCGCAGGAGCATGGCTGCACCAGCGCCTCGTAGGAGTCGGACCTACCCCCGCACCCGCGCCGCAGCATGGCCACACCCTGTGCCCGCGCTAGGGACGCCGATGGGGCGCCCACGACGGGGCTCGCCGCGTGAGGGCCTGCTGTATCCGGCCGCACGAACGGCCGTTGCGCCTGCGCGCTGCATCCGTTCGCGTGAGGAGCCAGTGCGCCAGGGGCCACGCCGCTGGGGCCTTGCCGTTGCAGAAGAAGAAAAGGGCGCATGTGAGCGGAGCACGGGCGAGTGGGCGCAGCGCGGGCGAGCGCATACGGGCGGGCGAGCAGGGCGGAGCGTATGCGAGCGAAGGCGCAGGCGGAGCGCATGGGGGCGGGCGGGCATGCCTACGGTGCAGAACGCGGTGGCGAAGAAGCCCATCACCAGCTGCATCTCCACCACCAGCGCGTATGACACGGAGCGGCCGCCGCCCACGGCGCGCTTGTACGCGAGCTCCACTAGCGGCAGGACGAGGCCGTAGAGCGCGGCGGCGCCGAGCGTCAGGGTGAAGCCCAGACAGTACACCAGGGGCCGGTCCGACAAGACGTGCAGGCCCAGCACCACGGCACCAACCGTCAGCAGCGCTATGGCGTTCACGGAGGCCACCGTCAGGCGCTGCCGCACCACGAGGAAAGAGAAGAACACGGCTGCCGGCGAGCACGCAGGAGGCGCGGGCGCAGGCACCGCGCTGCCGGTCGCCATCACTGCCAAGCATGCAGGAGGAGGACGATGAGTCCCGTGGATCTGGGTCCAGCTGATGGTGGTCCTTCCTCAACTCCGGCCGCAGTGGGCGCGACCTCGGACGCTGGCACGAGGGTCACCGCTCTAGAGCCGCTCGACGTAGCGGCTGCCTAGGGCGGCACGGCTAGGGGGCGTTGCGGCCACCTAGGAGGAAGCGAGCTCAGCCATGGAGGCTGCGGGGCTTGGCCTGAGCAGAGGAGACGGGGAAGAGAAGAAGCCAGGGGTAAAAAGGACATTTTGTGCCTATTCTCCCTCCTCCTTAACCAGAAATGAATATTTTATTCGACGTGGTATCCAGTAGCAAATTTGACAACAACGTTGGTGTCCACCAGCAAAGTGCTCTATTTTGCATGTCCGCTAGCAAAGTAAGGCCACTTGGAGTGTCCGGTGGCCAATTTTGCCTTAAATTAATTTGTATGATAGTAGTATAGTTTTAGTCCTTTTATTTATGTACAGCCAGTTAAGAGCTACTTGAGTCACATATATCAGATTTTCTATAATTTCCCTTTTCTAGGTCCTTTTTCTTATTTGACGATGTTATATGGTTGCTGAATCTAAAAATTATTTTAAAAAAAATAGAGATAATCTTCAAATAGCCTGACAATATTATTTAAGTATAGAATATGATTAGTTTATATAATATTTTTTGATAAGCTAGTTTATATAATATGATCCAAATACACACGTGCATACGTATTAATCATTGGAGGGATAGCCGGACAGGATGTAATAAAATACACGTGAAATCAAATAAGCCAAAGCCAATGCACGGTTGCCGGTGGGAGGGGATTGGTGGGAGAGTGATTTGGTGGCCGGACTGGGATCACCCAATCCATGCGTGTGTCTGATCACTCGTGGAACTCATCCACGGACAGCCAAACGAAGCCTAAGACATTTTTGACACAAAAAAACATATGTATTTAGTCTGAACCAAACTTTTGTCTCTTAAGGCCCATCATAGTGCGACTGGAATTTTTTGTTGTTTATTTTAACAGGCCACATTTGGCCTGCCTTGGTGAGCATGGCGTGGCTCCCTATTGGGCCTAGGCTGCGTGCATGATCTCCATTGCTGTCTTGCTAATGGTCTGTGCAATCTTCATCGTCAAATCAAGATCGACGGCTCACACGAGTCTGGCCTCAAACAAAACCGTCGACCCTAGAACCCGATATAGCACAAGGTGAAGGTAGTCAGCAAAGGGAAGAGAATTGCCACTACTTCTTGTGGGTGGGTATTGCGATGGATAGCAACGCCTTGCAGCTTGTTTAAAGTTATAAGAAGAAGAAAGATTGAACTATATATGCTAGATTGACTCAATAAGAGAGAGAAGGATTGTATAGATGATATATGCGGCTTGTATGTATCAACTGACCTAGACAAGGGTTTATGTTAGACGAAGCGGTTGGATTGAGTGAATAAAGAAAAAGTATCAAGAATTGTTGTTCTTCCACTGCTACAAGCTTCCGGTCGGATAAAAAGATAGGAAGGGATGACCTTCCATGCAGATGATCCATTATTTCCTTTTTCTCATGACATGAGGGCTTCTTGTTGTTAGCTTGGTTGCATTCCTGTTTTCGAAACCTTAACTAGCTTGCTTTCCGTCTTGCCTTTGCCGGAGGCATAGGTTGAGCTTTAGCAATAGCTGACAGTTAGGGAACATAGGAAACCAAAGAAAGGAGGAGCGATAAACTCTAATCTCCATTTTTCTCCCTCCCTTTTGTTTCTCGCTTAGCCATCGAGTGACCGAACCTGATGTAACACCCTAGGTGTTTAGGCTTCCACTAAATTGCATGTCATTTCATAAGCATGTGCATTATCTATGTCATCATGTCATTATCATTGAAACATACATATGCAACATTTTAAATTGTATGTGTTTCATGCTTGATTGCTTAGAGTGGTAGTAGTGCAACGTATGAATGCAACATAAATTTCTCATATCTTGAAGCATGGCAACATGGTAGTAATGTGACAAGTATAGAATAACAACCAAGCTATGAAACATGTGTAACATTTCATTGCAACATATGAGTGAATTGCTTGTTTAGTTGCTTTATCACATGTGATCATTAAAAGAGGTATAACAATTTGTAAAGGTGGTTGATCATGGTCTATTACACCTTAACTATACTTAGGTTACTTGTTGGGACATTGTTCATGTACATCAAAATGACCAAAATGCCCTCAAGTGCAAGTTTGACTTGAATTGACCCTTGGAGTGTCATTGTTTGACTGTTTAAAAAGTACAACTTAGAGTCTATGCATGTCTGAGCAACTTAAAGCAAACTTGTAGTAAATTTTATAAGGAACAAAATTATTTTGTGACCAACTCTTGAAAATGTGCACAACATGCCCAAAAAGGTCTCACAAGTCAGCATTGATGGTGGATTCAACATTTGAAAAATTTTCTAAGTGTTGGAACCTTTCCAGCTTCATGAAGACGACTTTGGAACCTTGTAGATGGAAATCCGTGGTGAATTAGCTCGAGCTTATGTTGAGTCAATTGAGTACTCACTTAACTCTATCGTAGTTCAACCGGATTAGACTTTGGCCGAGTCGATTAGGAAATAATCATTGTCAAAGTATCATTTGTCGGGCTCGGAATTGAACACCGAATCGAAGCTACAAAGATCAAGTTTTAGAATTCAACCGACGCGTGGGTGACACTCGTCGTCGCCGACCTCTTTGTCATACTTGCCACGCTACCAGTCGCGCCTCTTGGCGTCAAACCGTGTCTTGAAGCCACCCCACGCTACCGTCCGACGACTTTCGCCTCGTCCCCATTTCGCATTTCCTCGCCTCCCACCGCACTTCTCGCTGCCGAGAGCTCACCGTCCGCCATTGCCGACCGCGCATCGTCAGCCGTCGTCGCGCCTTCATCGCGAAGTGCGTTGTTGCAGTTCACCCGAGCTACGCCGTGATCCCTCCACCTCCTCCACCTCTTAGTCGGGTAGATCGTGCCCTTGGTAAGGGCGTGTTCGCCGCTCTCCCCACCGCAGCCCATGGCGGGAGCTCGCCGGAGTTGGCGCCCACGCGCGCCAGTCTCCTCGCGCTTTCATCCTCTCTCTCCGCCTCGCGCTAGGTCATAGGAACACCACCGGCTCGAGAGTCACCGCAGTCACGGTCAGGTCGCCGCTTCGTCGGTTCGCCGGCGCGGCCGTCTCGGTCGGTCGCCGCGCCCGTGTCGTCCCGCCAACCCTCTAGCCGCTACCCTAGCACCGATTGAGGTCACCACTAGATGCGCATGGTCAAGGCGAACGTCGAAGCGTAGATGGTTTCGCCGGGAGAAGCTACCGACGGCGAAGTTGCGCTGTTGTCGCCCTCCGCCTCCCTGCTCTATCTCGGCCGACAAGCGGGCCTGCTTCGTCGCCTCCCGACGCGGAGGCGGAGCTACTGGCCGCGCCGAGTGTCTGGGCCGCTTGCTGCGCTGCTTTGGGCCGCTTTTGTGTGCTCATGGGAGCCGCCGTGATTCTTCGGGCTGGCCCGAGAGTCGTGTAGGATTTTCCTATTTTGTTTTGTTTTATTATTTCACAGATTTATGTACATATTGAAAAATATGTAGCTCTTAGATGGTAGATCCAAATGATGTGGTTCTAATTTTGTTGAGTTCCTAGTAATGTCTAGTATTTCATAAAAATATTATATGAGCACATGTTTTAGAAGTTCTGGATTTATTAAATAGGACTTTGAAATGTGTTTTTGGATACATGCAAACTTGTTTGAATTTTATCTTGAGTTTCTGTGGTCCAAAAATTATGAAATTTTGTGGACAGTCTATTATTGCTTATTAGAAGCTCTGGTTAAAATTTCAGAGCTAGTGCATGTGTAGTTTTTAAGTTATAGAATTTCCTTTTATTAATGGGTGGATCTTGTGTGAATTTTCATAATTTTTCTATAGATCCAGTGAAGGTGAAATTTGATGAGTGCTATTCTTATGCTAGAATGATGCTAGGAAAAATGAGAAATCTGTTGCTTGACACTTTTTAATAAGGTTTCCTAATTATGCTCAAATTAGACATGTCACCTGTTATTTTGGATACAGCAAGTTATGTTTGCCCAATGGCTTTGAAATTTTTATGGTAGTCTATGTGCAGCATGAGATAGCTACTGTAATTTTTGTAGATTTTTGTGAATAATTTTACTATATATTGCTTAAATCACCTAATTAACTAAATAAATTGGAAAAAGATATTAAATAATTTATTTAGAAGTTGGCACTATACTTTCTGATGTTTCTTAGGTATGAAAAACAAGTTGGTAAACTTGGTTTGATCAAAGTATGTTTTTTGCACAATCATTAAATAATTAAGTTAGTAACCTCGCATTCGACAGATTCTAGGTTTGTTGAAATTGATTTGGTTAACATCGTAATCATGCTTTGCTTTGCTTACCATTGATTTGTAGAACATTTCATAAGTTTTCCAGAATGTCCTCATAAAAGTCATTTGGATTTATAGAACTCTAGTTATGATTGAATTAAGTAACTACTTGTTTGCATATGAAGCTTTAACTGTTATTTTAAGTATGTCTTTACTATTTCTAAGTTTGTGGTACTGTTCCTAGGTGTTAGGTCTTTAACTGAAGATGAGCATCTTTATCTTAGTTTATGCAAGTTAGGTAAGTTGCTCTTGTTCTTTAAGTTAAGTTGGATACATGCTTAAAGTGATTTGAATAGAGCTAATTACTCGGAAGAAAAGTGTCCAAAGGATGTTTTCGGTAAACACTCACCGTGATTCATTCATCATGAGCATCATGTCATTCCTTATGCATCCATGATATTTATCTTTTGCATCGGCATGCAATAGGTGTACCGGAAGGAGTAACCTCATGGAATTCGAGGAACCGAAAGCGAGCAGCAAAGCAAGAAATGACGCCGAGATTCAAGAGGAGCAGCCTTCGTAAGAAGTGCCGACGAGGTCGCCGTTGAGTGCCCGGACCACCGTCCTTGCAACTTTGTGAAAGG